CCCGGCCTACTGCTCAGCTGAAGGGCCCTTTGGCCCTGGGGTGGGGGACGGCTGTCCGGCCGCCGCCCTGAGGGGGATCGCCGGGGGAGGCCGCGGAGAGCTGGGCCCCTGCTGCGTGCCTGTTGGGCAAAGGACATCGAGGGATATTGTTTCTTCTGACAAAAGTCAACTTTTTCTTTCATTCTCCCCCCCCCAAAGGTGCGATGCCCCCTAAGGATCGTGGCAGAGGCAAACTGCCAGTTCCTCTCCCAAGAGACATGATCCTGAAAGACACCGAAGGAAAAGTCTGGAGGCTGGGCAGCCAGATCGGCCAGGGAGGATTTGGCTTAATTTATTTAGGTAAAATACCGGTGGTGATTAGAAGGGTGACTTGTAAATTTCTTTGTAACTTTCTGACACAAGATAGAATGGGTTAAAAAAGTTACTGTTGTTTATGTGCTGGTGGTCATCTGTGTTGAAGTGTGGTTTTGTGACGTTTGTGGTGTCCTTGTTGTTCAGAAACGTTGCTGATGGTGTAGCTTGTTCTCCATGGGCTGTCCAGCCCAATTTGCTGGCTCCTAGTGTGCTTTTCTGTGGAGCTTGGATGGGGTTGGCAAGGTGTTGCTCCTGTTAAAGACTATCGAAGAGCACTGCCAGGCGATGCTCTTCAAATTAAAGTCAATACTTTCGTTAGCCGCTGCTTTGGACTTATGCCAGCCTTATGCTCTGTAGCGCTCTTTGGGTTTCCAGTTGTTGGAAATATTATCTTCTGGCCAAGGCTAAATCAGTTTTCATCCAGGAAACATAGTGGTAATGATAGTTAGCTGGGTGTTGCTTCTGAATTAAAACCTTCCACCAGAGGTGGAAATGCTGTTCTTTATTTCTCCAGCCTAGATATGTTTCTGTATTTTCTTTAGAAGAAGCTGCTGCATTTTACTCAGTCTGTGTTTTATAAGGAATGAATGGCTCTGAAAAAGTAGTTTGTAAAGCATTCTGGATTACTGGAGAGGATATAATGTATGTTACTATTGCTGGTGTCTGTGAAAGAGCAAATCCTTTTTTTCAAGGCAATATTATGAGTTTGGTTTGTTTGGTTTTTATGGCAAAGAGTTTGGTTTGTTTTCATGGCAAACATATACAGGCAAACTATTCCACAGTGACTGTTAGGGACTAAATTGAGCTTGTATTAAGACAGCAATAAAGACTTATCTAGAAGCAGTTGAGTACATTGTCTGTGAAGCCAGACATGATCTTTTGAAGTTAGAGGTATGTTAACTTTCTATTTGGAGTATGAATGTTTAAAACTTGCTAAGCAAGTCACTCCTATACCTGCATTGACCTCCTTTTATGCATAAGTCAGCTATACCTTCTTTTTTTAAGCTTTTCCTTTTTGTGTGTTCCTGTCATGGGAAATACAGTTTTGATTGTTTCCCACTCTTGGTTTTTTCAATTGATCTCTTAATGATGTTTCCTTCATATTGAGTGATTTGTCGGAAAAGAATCTGTTAATACACTGTTACGCAGCATGAGCTTTCCACTTAGCGTGATTTCCACATTTTTATAATGAGACGAGTTTTCACTAGAACAGGCATCATATGTCTTGTGCCTTTTCAATTCTTTTGTCTTTAGTAGCTCCTTTCAAATATGCAGGGCTGTGCTAGATTCAGTGTGGTTTCATGGAGGTGAAGGAGTTGTCCATCAGTGTCAAATTGCAGCATTAGGCATCTACTGTAGAGAGGAAAAGTGTACATTTTCTATAGAAAGGTTAGCATGTTTGCTCTTCTCGTATTTGCAGATGTAAATGTAGCACTCGTGTGCCACTGGTCTCTTGGTGACAGATTTACAGTGATCTTTGTTACATCTGTCTGGCTATCTCATGGTGCTTGTCTGCTTTCAGCTGTTCAGGAACATTTTATGTTATACTGAAGTGTTCTTCTTCTCCCTCTTTTTTTTTCCTCCTCATGTCCATTATGGTTAATCACAAAGAACTGAATGGCAACTGAAGACTCATATTTTATTTCATGGTGTGATAGTCCCGTATGTGGTCAGATGTTGCTTCTCTAGTGGTTGCCCAGTTGTACTGTTCTTCCAGCTATTAATGTGTGGTTATAAACTGCAGGAGGGTGGACAATTTTACTTGTGCATCTGGACTGAAGTTGCGTCTAGACTTCAGGTTTGAGTGGAGGAACTTTCCAGGGGGGAAAAAAAGGCGTAAGCTGGCGCTTTGTTCCACTGAATGCCTGTGTAAATGAAGCAAAAGATTTCAGTAACAACCTAAATGCCATTGCTTCTGCTTTTCTGCAAAGTAAACGCAGGCACTGAAAAATCTGGAGAAAACTAAGGCTGTCTATATTTGCAAGTAGTTTGGTGTAACAGAAGTGAATGAGTAAATGGCAACTGTTGGTGTGTATGGCCCTACATATACCCTTTATTTAAGTTGAGGATTTGTTTTACTGTGGCTAGATTTGGTGTCGGCCACTGCACTGAATTTCCTCACCAAGTGTGTAGTTTGAGGCTGTCTGAAGGAACTATTTGGGATTCTTATGATGCTGTTAGTAGTTGGAGTGCATCTGGTGAGTTCCTGTAGTGTAATTTCTGGTTTGGTTTCCTCTGGAATTCATATAGTTCACACATAGCTAATGGCTGTGCAGATTGAACCAGTGAGAGCGATAGGGGCTTTAACTGCAGTTACAGAGGAGTCAAAGGCTCGTGCGCTTTTAGAATGTTTATATTCTTTTTCCTTTTGATATATCTGATAGCTTCTGACCTTCTTTGAAACATCAGTTGGTTACATTTGAAAGATGCTGTGCATAGAGCGTATACGAGATGTTACCATAAGAAAATAGACCTTAGCATGAGCTAAGAAGTTAAGGTGTCTCTGGATATTTCCATTTGAGGATAAAGGAAAGGAAGACAGAAACTTGCAGAGAGCTCCTACAGAGAGAAGGGACTAAAGGAACTGGGGATGCAGTACAGAAAGCAAGGTTGTAGTGGGTGTAGCTCTCCATATGTAAGACAAAAGAACGTTGTGTTTCTGAATCACTGGGAATATAGCTCTGTCATTTTCTGTTGCAGTCAAATCACACTGGACCTTGTGGGTGGTATAGCACATGGGATTCAGTCCATTTCATGCAGATTTGATTAGTTTTCTGCCTGATCACACAGACCACTGAGGTGATTTCATATATTGTGGTGTTTGTTACAGTTTGGCTCCCACTGAACCGAGGTGGAAAGCAGTCAGTGGATTAGTTGAGAATGAGAATACAATCTGGGACCCTTGGTATTACTATTCTGTGTTTTTTTCGTCAGTGACAGCATGACTGAAGAAATACAGCTGCTACTTTTATAATGGTATTTGTGTTCATTTAATCCCTTCTTTCAGAAGGGGTAGTGAATGTTGCATGTAGCACTGAACTGAAGGCTTAATTCCCCTTGTAGCTTACCCTACAATTAAAGGAGGAAATGGGCAAGATTTATTCCCAAGTACTGACACTGTCTGAAGCTTTCTTGTTTAGTCCACCTCTTTATCTCTGATATGTGTTTATATGTAAAGTATACCATTCACTAGCTTTTTTGGGCTTGATCCTATAAAAGAGTTTAGCTGTCTTTGAGAGTCAAGGGGAGTGAAATAGAAGATGAACCTTTGAGTAAGATACGGATGCTTGGTGCTGAGAGGCACCTTTCTCTGTGCTGTTCAGACTAGTTTTTGGTGCATATACAGCAATATGTGAGAGGACCACTAAACTTTCAGTGAGGAGATAACCTGGAAAGAGCTGTAGAGAGGTGGGCAAGACAGGAGAGTAGAGACAGATTCGACTGCCTGCCAGATAGGAACAGCACAGACCTTTTATAAAAGTAAAGGTTAACTTTGCCGGCTATATCTTTTAATAAGTATTTTTACAGTAGCGGTGTAAAGATTTTGATGTGCATTGTTATAGCTTAATTTCCCATTAAGGGTACTCCATACTCCATTAATCTGTAACAATGTTCTTGAGAAATTTTACAGTATCTCTGCAAAATGTATTTACAAGGGATGCATTCTGTGGAAGGTTCTGTTCACTAAATCAAAGCTGCTGAAAGCCATTTACTGACCCTGAGCCCTAGGATGCAAATAGTCTCTTCAGGTGCAGGGATTCTAAACTTCTAATTGTGTACATGAAAGTTACCACTATCTACAAGTTTTGCTCTGTCTCACAAATGTTTTCCCTGATTTTTCTGATTATTCTTTCTCTTTCCCGTCTGTGCCATCTTGTCTATTTCTTTGTTGGCTCGTTCCTTCCCTTGAATACCCTTTGCATTTTTACTCCACCAGAGCAAATCCAGCAGCAATAGGCTTACAAATACTGATTCTCCCAATGCTTCTGAAGAGGAGAGCTTCCTCTGCTGCCAGAAGCAATAGAATCCATCTAGAGATGTTCTTTCAAGCACTGCTTTTGTTATAGCAAGAGAAATATGGATCATAAGCAGGAATTAACTATGCCATTGTATGTTAGAAGTTTTATTTTATTTTTGTTACTGGTGCTGATTTGCTGTCAGGCACCTCAGACAGAACTGTTATCCCTTTGATAAGGGGGAGCAGAATGGAGAGCAACTGGGGAAGAATATAATGTGTTGGTGGTCTCACAGCTAGTTTGTAGCCCTGTGGAGAACAGTGGCAGTACATTGGAAAATTAAGCAAGAGTTGAGGAGGGTACTACTGAGAGCCTTACATTCTCTCATTTATCTTCCTGATCACAGTCAGTAATTAACACCAGTCTTAATATAAATCATTCTCTAGTCCTGCTGCAAGCACTCTATTAATACACAATTTGGACTGAAAATTTAAATGCAGAAAGGTCACACAATGTTTTGTTAAGATTCCACTGTCACAGTGAAATCTGCTGTACATAGCACTATCTGCTTGCAGGCTTCTTTCTCATGGTAACTGATGGTTCTACAAAATACTATTTTTATTTTTAGCTACATACATGTTTGTTAGATGGTGTCTTTTATAATAGTACTTATTACATTGTAAATGTATTTTAATTGTATTATGTGTGTCTATTGTAATGAAACTCTGTAAGTGATGGGTGAAAATTAAGAGTTTTGAAACCATTTTTTGTAGCTGGCTTTGCAGCAGGTGTTTATATGTTGCTGTTTGAATGCTATTTTTTCATATGTTGTTACAATATGGGAAGCTCAGCAAAGTATGTATCGATAAAGTCATAATCAAATTCAGCCCTGCCTGGAGATCCATCACCAGTATAGCCAGCACACTATCCTTTTCTTTTTTTTCCTCCCCATTTTGCAAGAAGAGACAATATCTACTTGAGCAGTAAACAGTGATTAAATGGGTGGTTATTGTCTTTTAATACTAGCAG